CGCTGCGGGAGTCTCTGGTACAGTCTCACTAGCAGCATTGGTTTCCAAAACGCTTGCCGAAAATGCGGTTTTGGAATGTAAGGCGGTAGCACGCATAGCGTTCATCAACAGCAGACTATTTTGCTGTCTGCAATTGGCTCAGTTCCGGAGTTGAAGAGGAAAATGAAACAAGCATGACTTTGGCGGGACTTTTGGCTTGCTTTCGGGAGCCTCAGATGCGCCTCGGCTTTCGGTACCTGCGCCACTTTCTTCTCCTGGAGTCTTTTTCTTGAGATCATCTATCGGTGTTGCGGCATCGACGATGGGCCAGACGAATCCTGTTCGGGGAATATAGTCGGCCGTCGACTTCGCAAGATATCCAACGAGGACTGCAGCGAGCAAAGCGATGTTAGCTGTCAGAAAACTGTGTTGGCTTCAAGCGGGTCTCGTTGCAAAAACGGAGCACACCAGCCGATTGGAAAGGACGGTATAAACGTCTGGCGACTGATAAATCCTGTTGTTCATGATGAAATAAGCGCACAACGGGCGAACTTGGTTTGATCAGAAACCAGTTGCAGACAGAGGCACTTGGAGAGGCTGACAAACCTTCGTCGGGAGATAATCGTTCGCGTTTGTGGATGATGAACATGGATGGAGGTTGGGCATGTACAACGGCGAACTCGACTCCAGTAAAACGTCTGCTCCGCACGTCAAACCCTCTCATTATTGGGATGGTTGGAAGGCGTGCCTCAACTCCTCGGCCTCGTTCGCAATCGCTGTTCCTGTGTGCATCGTTTGCATCCGCAACACCTGGTTGTTGCTTTGTTTGTCGTAGAACATGGATGTCGTGAAGTATTCAAACACATTTTCAGTGGTCAGTGGTCCATTCGCCTATAATACGTGCACATAAGCCGGACTGCCAGTGAGCATTGGTGGGTCCACAAGCACACCTGAATCCATTCATGCCATATGAAGAACCTGTGACTATAGTCATCCACAGGATGCAGGTCACTGACGTCCATTGCTTGAACCAAAGTGGCTTGACGCGTAAAGGACGCGTCCGAGTCTGCTCGAGAATTGGATTCAGGTCAAGCCAAAGAATGTGACGTGACAACCTGGTACGGTTTCCCTCAAAACAAGGTACAGAGAATATACGCTTCATTTCGTAGTACTGTACATTGTTAGGGGATTGACAAATAAAAGTAGGAATACTCGATAGCAAGAGAACATAAAGAAGTAATAGAGAAAGTATTAAAAAGAACAATTAAGTGGTCGAACGCAAGAGACGCCCAGACACAATAGAAGAAATTCATCTCGAGATCACGTTCGTCGCGGGGCCAAGCACAAGACAGGGCGGTACGATACGTGATACGTCGAATGACGCAGGGAGGGACACAGAATCTGGGTTGAGCCAAGAGCGCATGCGGCCAGAAACTGCGGAGCCGGCGGAATAGTGACGTAAGCCTGCGGGAGCGAGTCAGTGAACTGCGGGAAATGGCTAACAAACGTGAAGCTCACACGAAAAGAATAATCAAAAAGGAGAAATAATTGATTTAGGTGCAGTCGCAGTCGACTGCGTGTCCAATGAGCCCTTTTCCGCAGCGCTCGCACCATCTGCGTGTTCCCTGTTCCACCCCAATGGAATGCTTTGATCCCACCGAATGGTGGGATGAGCAGACAGAGCCCTCGCGCTGGGATTCGTCGCGATGAATGCTAATGAGGTGGCGCCCAAGATCATGCTTGCGACTGAACGAGCGACCACACGAACGGTGGGGGCAGACGTGGGGCTTGAGCCTGTTGGGGTCGTGCGTGGCCATATGTGTTTTGAGATTGTAGGCGCGGGCGAACGCTACGAAACAAAACAACAACAAAAAAGTCAGTGGTGAAAGACATGAAGTAATGGAGCAACGGACCTCTCGGACACGCGGAACATTTGTACTTTTTGCGCGAATCACCACCCTTATAGTCTTCATCCTCCGGGACGTGCGCCATCTGACCTGCCGGGATGGTGGGGAGCTGGGTAGAGATATGGGAGGGGGAAACGGTGGGGCCGGCGATGGATGAGGCGTTGAAATTGAGTTGACTGTACAAGTCAACAGGAATGGAAGGGCGTCTTGTCGAAGGACCGTAGTCTGAAAAGGTGGTACGGGATTCGTACGCTTTTGTATAGACTTTGCTGCTGCGGGACGTGTCAGGAGCCGCGCTGGCACCAAAGGACATGCGATCTGCTGCGGCATCAGAGCTCGCCTGAGCTGCGGCGTATTCTGATGCGGCATCGACACGTATTCGCTGGAAGTCCATTTCCAGGTCGAGAGGGAAGGAGTAGTTGGAGGGAGGGTGAGGGGAATGAGGGTAGTTATAGAAAGACTCGGAGTAGGACGAGAGGGAATCATAGGCAGACTCGGACGAGGCGGTTATGTTGGAGGGGGGGCCACGAGTAGGCGTGTCTGACCTGAAAAGTGTGTAGGCGTCGTGGGAGTCGATTGTCAGCAGCTGGAGCTCGTTGTCATCGAATCCAGCAAGACTGGTGTCTAACTCGAGCTCGAAGAGATCGGGATGGGGGGCGAGGATGTCCGAAGAGGGGTTCTGAAAGGACACGAAGTCGAGCTGCTTGTTGTAATCCGCCGTAAAGTCGTCAAAGACTGAATTGGGCGGATACGGCGTGGCCTGTGGAATGGACATGGTGCCGGGTTGCTCGAGTCAGAGATACTGTGGTGGAGGTCAGAGGAAGGAAACGGTTGCGCACAGCCACTGGACAGCCTACTGCGCATCAATCTTTTTGCGGCCATGATACGCCGCGGCTCTCAAAGGTATAAATTTCGACCACCCTCAAACGACGTCCAACGCGATTTCACCCGTCTTGACGTCCAGAATTACACCCGCATTTGCACCTTGTTTCTTGTCCCCCCAGGACCACAGCATGCTAACCGCCCGTGGACTGACTCCCGATCATGAACATTTCAACAAATGAACAATCTACGTGTCTCAAACGTGTAAATTGCCCCCTACCTGCAGGTCTATTGCAGGCATCCAGGTAATTACCGAGCAAGTGTTCCGCGTCGGGTAGCAGTCAATTTTAGGATGGACCCACTGAACATAGTCTCCGTTCTAACTAGTGGGTGGTTACACATGGTAGATGGTCTCCGTCCTCAAGTTTGTCTAATTTTTGGCCGGCGACACACCCTTATTATTCCGCTCCGAACCGCCTCTCGCGAGTTCACATTTACAGCGACTTGCACCTGTTTTTGCTGTATCTCGGCCGTACACCTTCGGTGGTTTCTTCAAGGTTTCTTTAAGGAATTTCTTATTCCGATTGTCAACTTTTAGGACTTGTTCGACGCAGAATCTCCCCACCTCTGATATTCAGTCCTCCACAGCATTTCAACGCCCGCCTAGCTCAATCGGATAGAGCGTCAGACTCTTATAGGCGGGTATCTGAAGGCTGCGAGTTCGACCCTCGCGGTGGGCTAGTCATTTTTTTTTTTGCTTTTTCCTCAATTTTACTTTTTCCAATTCACCAACAGGTCACTCAATATACTCATTGAGCCATGGTTCTATTAGCGCATCTATAGCTTGATTGGCCAGATTCCCATCCTCGGTCAGGCCTGTTTTATTGGAACTAACCCCTTCGTTGCGCCTCTCAGCTGGCTCAAGAACTCGCATTCTCGGCAAATCGCTCCTCTGCTGAATACTGATCCCCAGGGTGCCCGCGGGTTTTATGTTTCTTGAACAGTAGACACCGTAAAGTTTTGAACGACACCCTGCCCGCTTTCAGCTGGACCAACGGCACGCTTCTGCTGATGGGCATCAAGTTTCCTTCTAGGCCCCAACACATTATCTGCTTCCAGGTCTGGGCATCATGTACACAATTGACTATTTTTTTCAGCCTTCTTCCGAATTTCATTGGGATCTGGCTTGACAATCGTTGCATCTCTCGGTGGTATTATCATATACTCAGCATTTAACCGACGTTTCCGCGCTGATTCTAGGTCCCGCGGGACACGCGCAGCATCCTTGCACTATCACCGTTCCTTCGGTTTGCAAGATTTCTATTCTGGTTTGAGGCGTTCAATTGCGCACCGCGCTCTATTATTTCCTTTTCTTTACGGGAACTTGCATTCTTTCTATTTTCCTTTCCAAGTCTGCTCGTATGCGCTGAACGTGGTCGAACCTAATGGTAGCGTGTAGCCTCCGACTTCTCTTGACCTGTATTAATCGCCGATTCACAAGCACTTTGAATTCCCAGCCGATGCTGACCAGGGCCCCGATTTCGCTGCACTTTTTGGCTGTTTCCTTGGCTGTTTCTGTTTATCTGCAGATCTACTAGATAGCCAAGATAGACCGGTATGATACAGACACAGATAACGCTTGCTAGATCTAGGTCCATCTAGTCCAGCTCCGAATCCCAAAGGTCGTAGGTTGGGCCGATGATCGCCCTGTCGACTTGCCCTAAACGCTCCTTTCCACAGCGCCGACGCGGCGACGCGACATCTGTCTGGGCCTTCGGTCGGATGACTTCTGATGGTGCCGACCATCACATCGGGGTCAAGGGGAATTCGACGGAATCGTCCTGTTTAATCTCTGAGTTTTCTCAGGATTTGTTTTGTTTCGACCGTACAGGCCTCGAGATTGGAACTAGCACTTGAAGACTTGTGGAGACGCGCAGTCTCATCGTTGGTGTGGCCCTCAGCGATTGGATGACGAATAGGACCACACTATTTATAGTAAGCTCTGACAGGTTGAAACAGCTGGGAACCTGGAAGGGCATTTCTGCGACGATTAATCTCAATCAAATATTGAGCTGTCCGCTCGTTTTCCAGAGTGTATGTACTCTGCGGCGGGCGATACAAACAAAAGGGTTGCTTCAAAGCAAACATTGGACAGTCGACGTGGAATCCAAGATCATCATTAGTCTGGTCGCCATCGAAGCATAAGGAGCCTAATTGTGTTCAGCGGGATCGTGGGACATGAAAAGGAAAAAAATGTTTACCCAATGTAAGGTATACGAGGCAAAAGTAACTAGCCCACCGCGAGGGTCGAACTCGCAGCCTTCAGATACCCGCCATAGTTGTAAAAGTCTGACGCTCTATCCGATTGAGCTAGGCGGGCATTGAAGCATTGTTGAGGAGTAGAGATGAGACGTGAGGAGATTCTGTGTCGATCACAAAAAAGTCGACAATCGAATAAGAAACCGCCGAGATAGCGTGGAAACGTGGAAACATCTGTAAATGTCACCTGAGGGGGGAGGGATTCCGTTTCGAATGTGTATCTAAGGTCGATAATCCAATAACAGACGGCCGAGATACAGCGAGGGGAGGAGTGGGTCCGGGAATTCAGCAGCACCGTGTGTTAACTCCTGGAGGCGCGGAAGTGATTTCCAGAGAGGTAATTCGGAGTCGGGGCGAACCGAGTGCAAGGCAAGCGGGTGGGCCGACTTGAGGATACAACGACTCGGAAGACTGCATCACTCATACTCTTCAGCACATGCACTGGGCCCGGGGAAATTCAACGCGTCCAGAAAAGTCATGGAATGGCTGGCTGTCACAGGGTTGTCAGATGGAGCAGAGGGACTGTGTCAGCGTTTCCGTATTTGAATAGCAAACCGACCAGACGCGAGCATGGTGGTAGGTTGAGTGGATTCAAACTAGTGTGACTTGGTGTGACGTCGACATCGTCCTTCCTCGACAGACTTGACTTGGTCGGACTTGTCGCTCACGCTTGCGCTGACGTGCCCTTCATCCGCCTTTACATTGCTGGGGGGAACACGAAACCCTAAACAATATCCTTAGTTCTCTTGCTTCACTTGGACATTCAAGCGTCGTCGCAGGTCGTCGCCAACCAAATTAGCCGGGTTTAGCTCACGCGGGAAAGCATCTACATAATAGATGCTCGTAGCAAGCTCGTAGTGACAAGGATCCAGTACGAAACGGCCAAGAGTCGAATCAAGAAAAATGAGCTTTTGGACCCCTGAGAACGGGCTCCACAGCAAAAACGCGTCTGCCTCGCCATTAGTGCGCCCACGAGCTATTATTGAACGCGGGTTGCCTTGAAGGTTGCATGCCTGGGCACATTTACTTTTCCTGTGTGGACTGGAGCGACTATGCGCGCTGCTCCTGTCTGAATCTCGGTATTACGCGCGCACGCTTCCGACATGCATCACAGTTGGGCGTAGTCATGCCTTGATCTAGTGCTTCCCTTTTACTGTCCTTGAAACTTAACAGTTAAGCTATAAAACTGATGCGTATCCTTTGGCAGGACCGACTTCTTTTTGAAATTTGAAGCTACCTATCATCTGTCATCTGTGCTGTGAAGATAATGATCAGGTTCAATAGCTCTAGAATTCCGCCAATAGCTCTAGAATTCCGCCAATAGCTCTAGAATTCCGCCAATACCAGTGTGCAGAGTCCTCCAACCTCCACACAACATGTTCTCGCTTCGCATTCGCTCTGCTGCAGTACTCGGTGCATTACCCTTGGTCAACGCTCGAGCATTGCAGACGCGATTCGCCGCCGTGCACACGAGAAATTGGAATTCCTTTTCGCCTTCCACGGCGTAATCCAACTGACGATTTCTAGTGGGCGCGGTCTTCGATACGATGCATGGCACTGATGGGACAGCCAACAACACCACTGAGCGCGGGCTGCCTCTTCGAGGGTGCTGTCTTGACGTGCACTAACACCGTGGTGTAGGGCTCTTTTTTATTCTGGTTTATAAACATGTTTATAAACAGGTGTTTATAAACCGGTTTTTATATGGTCAGGCCAGAACACCCTGTTTTTAATTCAATGTGGCTGTGCTCGGCAAGGCGAATAGTGCATGAAGTCCTTAGGTTTTGGGTTTCCTCTGAGCTAAGTGTGGCGATTATAACAAATTATTCCGTCAGTTTGGCCTAGAATCTGCCTGGGATGGTACTCATTTACCCAAGAATAGGCATTACTTGTTCGATTAAGTGGCATACTCGTGGTTGAATCCATAAATGACGGATTCCGTATGCTGGCCCAGGTCCTTTGTTCCTTATTGGGACCTCCGCAGTAATACACACTCCTCCCCCTCCTCCTCCGAGGGCAAAAGCGCGAAAAATCACCCAAAACCGCACTGTTAAGGTGTTTCTCATGGATTTTGCGGGAGCGTTTTTAAACATGTTTATAAACACCCTGTTTATAAACGAGGAATTAAAAACTGTTTATAATTGGCTGGGGAATTATAAACAGAGCCCTACCGGCGTGGTGGTCGGTACGACGCCCAAGTATAACGTCAATCTCCCCGAGGACGTCCCAATGCCCGTGCTGTCCCCCGAATCGATTGCGACCATACGCCAGACCCACTTTAAAGGCGGGTCGAAGCAGGACCCGGACAAGGGTCTGTTCTTGGATAGCATTACGGACGACCATTTTCGAAAATGGGATGAAGAGTGGGAATGCGTGGGGACCTGCTACGTCGGCTGCCTACATTGAGAAGACGTACACCCAAATTGGGGTCGGGAAATTCTCTAACGGAGCTGATTCTACGGACTCGGAAGTCACTTTAGTGATTAAAAGATTTGGCGGAGATGTAATTACCATGTATCCGGTGTGAACTTTCGCCTAATGTAAATGTCACTAGTATTTTGTGTAACTGAGCAGAATGCAACGGGCTCCAGGTCGCGGGTATTGGTGATCACATTATAGAAAGCATCCGGTGACTCAACTCCTAAATCGATGCAATAGGGTGCGAGGGGAGAGAGGATGCTCTGAGCGCAAGGAGAGCCTCCCGGGGGAGACGGCAGAGCGCGTCGAAGGCGCGTCGCCAACTCTACCAAACACTGGAAGGAAAGAAAAGGGAGGGCGGGGAGAGAAAGCGCGTAAAGCGCGTCGTGGTACGGGAAGAGGAAGAAAGTGACGCGGTCACGCCGGTCACGTACCACTACCGCACTTTCCGCCACCTTTACAAGCTACTTATCCTCTGACAATCTCAAGCCGCTCGTGCCTCGCGTCGAGGTTGTCTCGGAAAGATGTCGAGAAGTTCACTTGCCACGGACTACAGCAATCTTCAGTGGAATGGACTCCCTGCTCGGCGGGAATGTACTGGGCCGGAATACCGATGCGCTTCTTTTCGGACTTCGCTTTTTTTAGGCGTCGCATGGTTCCGAGTCCTTGCCTACTTTTAGCTCGAGTGCTGCGCATGGCGAGACATACCCCACTCTGCTTCAATCCCACAAATGGTTCCGTTATTTGCAATAACTGAAATTCTGGCCCTAGCAACTGCTGTGCGCTCAATTTCGAAAGTGGCCCGGACGGGGAGATACCTCTACACCGACGACGGCACGAGGTTCGACATAGTCTCTCTTCGCAGACGTCTTCTCGTTTCTAGCACTGTCTTCCTGTCATAGGTTCTACATAAAGGGCGTCGCATACCAACCTGCAGGTAGAACAAGTTTTCTATCCAACGAAGCACTTCTTATCCCCGCGTCTAGGGGTCGTGGTTGCAAGCAGCGACAATGCCTTCAACGAGCCTTCCACATGTATGGCTCTTGCATTCGGTTCCCTAAATTTATAATCCGTTAATCGAAAGCATCCTAGTCACCGACCCTCTCGCAGACGCCGCTGGGTGTGCACGAGACCTACCGTTTCTTCAGAAACTCGGAGTCAACACCATTCGTGCTTATAGCGTCGACTCTTCGCTGAACCACGACTCGTGCATGAATTCGTTCAGCTCTGCAGGAATCTACATAATGCGTGTAATATTTATTATTTCGCACTGACCCAATTCTGACAGTGACAACCCTCAGTATTGATTTAGCTTTGCGTGGGTTCTAACTTGGGTTCCGGCGTGCCCTGTAAAATTGAATTGACCTCTTACAGCGCTCAACGGCTCCATCGACCGTACCATTCCCGCATGGAGCACGAATCTCCAAGACCAGGTACACCCCTTTTCACCCATGACGCTTGACCTGACTCTTCGCAGTACCTCACCACAATCGCCGCGTTTTCAAAATATGACAACGTGTTAGCATATAATGTGGGGAATGAGGTCATGCTGGTAGATGCTACTGCGCCTGCGCCATTCGTCAAGGCAGCCGCACGAGACGTCAGGGCATATCTGTGAGTAGCTCTGCAAATCCACGGCCAGTTTTTTTTTTCTGAACTTCATTCAAGCACTTCTATTTCGTCGTCCGCTCTTGTGGGCTATGCTGCGATCGACGGACCCGCAGATTTTCTGCAACCTCTTGCAAACTACCTGTCGTGCGATCCATCAGGGTCGAATTCGGGAAGTTCAGCAATCGACTTGTTTGGCTTAAACAACTAGTAGGATTCCCGTTCGGCGGCATCTAAAGATGGCACTCACTTTATCAATTAGTGAGTGGTGCGGTAACGTTCCGCCTAGCACATACGATGGAGTCAACAGTGAATTTGCGGGCTACAATGTCGCCGCCTACTTGTGCGCTGATATATTTCTCACTTTTTTTTTCATTTCTGATCTTTCTCATAGCTCGGAGTTCGGGAGCGAAACCTGCAATCCCGGTGTACGAGTGTGGACAGAAACCTCTGTTCTCTTTGCTTCCCCGATGATAGACACGTGGAGTGGTGGTCTGGCCTTCTCGTATTTTCCCGCGTCAAGCTCGGCTGGCCAGTTCGGAATGGTCAATATTTCTGCGGATGGGACAACTGTAACTCCGAACGATGACTTCAATAACTTGGTGTCCCAGTACGGCATGATCAGCTTCGTCAATAGTCCTGCGCAATCCTCAGCTGCGGCCTCTTCCTTCCCTACGTGCCCCACGGCCAATTCTTCCTGGGCGGCATCCAGCACTCTTCCGCCGACGCCGAACGACGCCGCCTGCGGCTGCCTGGAGAACGCCCTAAGTTGTCAGTTCCATACTTCGTCTTCGAATTATTCGGCACTCGTGGGTAATCTTACCGATACCGCTTGCGGTCTCTTGGGCTCTTCCGGTGGAACCTGCGACGACATCGGTGGCAACGGCACAACTGGAGTCTACGGCAGGCTTGATATGTGCGATCCCAGTCAGTGCTAATACTTGCTTCCAGAGATCCGGGTTGACCATCCCGACAGTCACTAAGCTTTCTTATGTATTCAGCCAGTACTTTGAGCTCAACGGGCGCCAGGCATCC